TTGAATTTTATGTAGTGAAAATACAACGAAAGGGATGTTTAATGAGCAAGAAAGTTAAAAAGTTGAAAGACAAAATATTAATAATAAAAAGATCGAAAAAACGTTGTGCAAGTCATATTACAAAAAAAAAAAAAAAAAAAAAAAAAAAAAAAAAACTGAAAATTTATGTAATGAACTCAGAAAAGGCTGAAAAGAAATTAAGGAATTCTAAGCATATGCTGTTTTAAGAAATTTTGTGATTCTCCTGTTGGATTTTATGTGGCATAAATGTGAAGAAATGATGTTTAATAATAAAATGAAAATAACAAAAAAAGAGACGATTGGTAAGCTGCGATTCAGGAAGAGCATGCTGCGTTAAAATCTGAATACTTTAAGAATTTTTATTTATTATTACTATGATCATCATCATTATTATTATGTGTGCCTTCAAAAACATCCATGTTCAAGACGATGAAACATTGTCCTGCACTCCACACGGAAGAGTAGTATCTTTTAGTCTCAATTTGTAAATTAATGTTAAGAAGCTGTTCAGTCAGCTTCTGTAACGTGTGACTACTACATTTGGAGCTCAGGATATCATATGTCAAGTGAGGGTCATTTGATTATCGTAGTAAGCGTTGTATATATTTCATAATTAAATTGATAAACAATGTAATGCATTATTTTAGTCTCATCTTTAAAATCTGTAACAAAATCAGTAAGAATCATTGTAGATTTTACTGTTTATTCACGTTTTCTTGGGGAAAAAATCTGGTGTGTACGCCACATAACTTCTTTGAACGGAATATTAAATTATACGCATTTTTCCTGCATTTCATTTAAACTTATTGAATTGAATTAAATCTACTTCGTCGAATAGCGCCTAAACCACAATAGACGCTTTTTAAAATTCACTATATTTATTTACCAGAGCGATACTCTGGTGTTAGGTTCATTTAACAGCGTTACATATCATTCATTTTATAACTCAGAATGAAAAAAAAAAAAGAAAAAAAAAAAAAGAAAGAAAGAAAAGAAAAGAAGGATATCATCTGAAGAAAAAGAAGTTAGACAAATTAAAAATAAACAGTTTTTCGCACACGATTCAGCGCTGCTTACCTAATGCGCATGCGCTACTCGTAAACATTCTTCTCTGTCCGAAACAGACTGGCTACAGTATTTTCTGCTAATATGAAATGCTTATTTCCCCGAATTTCATTAATTCAGTTCTCACTTCGCGGCAAGGCAAAAATAATAAAAACACAAAATATCTTCGTTAAAAATTGAAAAATAAAAAAAACACAAAAACACCAAATACAGTTAAAATTACAGTTTCTGCGCAAAAACAAGCAATTTCGCCAGCAGGAAAAAAGACAGATTTTTCGGTGCACAAAACTTAAAAGTTTCGTTTTGGTCCCGTTCGGCAAAAAGACACTAAAGCCGTAGAAATTGACTTAATTTGTTATGGACGCTATGCTGAGTCAATATATGGGATAATTCAAAAACTTAAATGATAATTCCAAAATGGATTAAGCATAATTTAATTCGCAATAATAAAAGAAGATGTTACTTTGTTGTTGCAAAGCTTATTTTCTCTAGATCAGTTCCATATTCACGCATCACTGATCTACCCTTCCACAAATTATAAATGAATATCTTAGAGTCATTTATCCAAACACTACGTAAATATAACGCATTATACATTTACATTCTAAGTTCCTTAACTTGCCGGTCTGTGCTCTGGAGAATAACGTCAAGGGACGATTTACAAAACTGCAGAACCTGTTTCTGATCCCCCCCTCCTCTAGATTTTCAATATAGTGTATGTTACTGAGGCAAATTATATTTCATCTAGAGTACATTTCATATAAAGTATTTCGTGAAATATCTGTATATTTCAGATTTTTTTTAATTAAACGAAAATTATAATTTCAGTTTTTTTGTACAAAACACAAACTTGCACAGTCTTAACAAGGGTCTTGTTTCTTTTTTAAAGAAAGTCTGAAAAGTTTTTAGATTTTAACGGTCGCCCAAAAAGCTATCTTAAGGTTTTTTACACTCTCATTGAGCTCGCAGTCTACCAGTCTGCTGTTGCACTCGCTCCCCTCCTTTTTAACTTCCTTGTACGAAAAGTAAAAAGGAAGTATTGTAATAGCGAAAAATTTCGGGTATCATATTTCAACGAAAATATCGATTTTGAACGCTATCCAATGAAATTTAATGATGTTTTTGCGTGATATCCGCAAGTAAGGATAAAATAAAGGCCTCTTTTCCCCCCAAAAAATTATAAAACTGATTTAAATGAATTCCGAGGAGAATGTTTCGTGGCGTCTGTGCGTACGTACGTATCTCGCATAACTCAAAAACAAGTAGCCTCAGAACATTGAAATTTGGTATATAGGACTGCTATAACATGTAGGTGTGCACCTCGTATTTTGGTAGCAATCGACCTCACCAAAAGTATATAAATTTTATATGTATATATAATATATCCACTCTGTTACTCGTCTCAGTGAACGCAGTTTCTTTATTCTTATATGTTTGTAAATTGGGCATTTTTTGCTTTAAAAATGATTGAATTATATTGTTCTTATCTTCCGATTAAGGTTTTTATGCTTTTAGTAAATCTGAATGCAATATTTATGAAGTTATCAACAATTTAAAAGTTGTTTAAGTGCAGTTAAGCCTAATGAATTTTGCGGTGGCAAACATAATTGTTTATATTTCAGATATTGGCAAAATAGCGGATTTGTTGCCAATCTAGAGAAACTGAGCTTCGCAACAACAAAGGTAACGCATTCATTTATTATCGCCAATTAAATAATGCTTAATCCATTCTGGAATTTATTCCAGGAAATAAGTGTTTCAGATTTACTTAGTAATTTTTAATATTGAGATTTTGAGTTTTTATGTATTTTTGCTTTGTCGGGATGTGAGAACTGAATTAATTGAATGAGAAATACTGAATCGTCTAAGAAAAACTGTTTCTTTTTTTGTTTTGTTTGCTTAATTTCTTTTATACATCGTTTTAGATTTATTACAGCATTTGAATATAACATGTGGCAACGATTAGATAATTCTTCAGATGATATAAATTTATATGCATTCCGAGTTATAATATCGACGAAATGTAACGCTGTTAAGTGAACCTAGCGTCAGAGTGTTCTTACGGTAAACAAATATAATGAATTTTAAAAAGTGGATTTATTCTATTGTGGTTTATGCACTATCGACGATGTAGATTTAATGAAAACTAATAAGTTTAAATGAAATGCTAGAAAAAATGCGTATAATTTAACATTTTGTGCAAGGAAGTCATGTGGTGTACACATCAGATTTTTTAGCTTTATTATTAAGCATCATTTTCTTCGCTCTTATGCCATATACAATTCAACAACAAATTACAAAAATTTTACAAGCAGCATAGCAGTATACGTTTAGAATTCTCGATGCAACGTTAAGTGTTAGCACACATTTTCTGATTTTTTTTGTCTTTTCTCAGTTCATCATATCAGGGGTCAGTTTTCTTACTAAGATGGATTTAGAAAACTTTTTTTTATTTCATTACTAACGTTTTGTGAAATTGCTTTATTTATTAAATATTACATCCTTGGCGCTTACGCCACATAAAATCCAATTAAAAGAAAATCACAAATATTTAAAAATAGCATATATTTAGAATCTCCAATAGAAAGTCTCGAGCGCTGGCTTATAAAAATGTTTTTTTTTTTTTTTTTTTTTTTTTCGTACAGTGCTGTCACTGTTTGCTTTAAAATCGTTGAGTTTGTTAATCAAATTTTCGTTAAAGTTTTACAAAATATGAAATAGATTATAAAATTAATTCGAAATTGAAAATTTGGCTTCCATGTGCCTATGTTCGGGTGAAGAACTACGTTATTCAAAATTTGATGGCTTTAGGTACGGTTGTTTTTTCATATTGCGAAAAACATTCATACATTCATGCAGATTCTTCGTTATTTAATACCTTTAAATATAATACAGGGCAATAATATTTCGCGGCAGCACTTTGAAAAGAGATACGCCGTTTATAATGATTCAAAGTAAAATGCCTTTTCGAAACTAATATCCCATTCGAGACTAAAGTCCCTTTCGGGCGAAAAATAAAAAAAAAAAAAAAAAAAAGGGGGGGGGAGCGTCATTGATAGTAATATTCTGAATGGTTTTACTATAAAACGTAATTACGTTACAGAGATCTGACCAAACTGATGAAATCAAAGTTCTTATCAATTCAATAATCAATTGCGTGAATAAAATGTAAAATTAACCATTTCTTTCACAGGGGAAGAAATAATTTATTCTGATGGATTATTACATGGTTTTTCATGGCCTGGGTCATCTTAAAATTTTACATTGGAATTGTTTAAAAAATACAATAATCTCTCTCATAACAAAACATAATTTAATAATTAGTAATTTTAAATAAAAAATTTGCAGTTCTATTTTGTGTTTTTTCCTCAGTTATTAAAATATCATTAATTCCAATAAAAGGTGCTTCAGAATAAATATTCTAATAGAGGAAAAAAAAAAAGAAAAAAAAAAAAATAGAAATTTTATAAATTTAAATATGTTTTTATTTTTGCTTTATATCATAAATTTATTTAATATACTCACTGTTTTTTGTAGCTTATTACAACGTAAGCTCTCAATTAAAATAAAAAATCCGTAATATTCTTTAAAATTTTTTAAAATAAAAATGATAAACAAAATAATTTTTGAGTTCTCTTTCTTTCAAAACAAAGTAGTCGAAATTTTAAATCTTAAAGATTTAGAACTGAAGGAAATGCTTACAATTTTAAGTATGTTAAATACTGAAGGAGGATTTTGAAGCCCCCTTGAAAGTGGAGACCGGGCACGTGCCCCATTTGCCTTTGCGGAAATCAGACCCTGAATGTCGCGAATATTCAGCTAATGGCATAATATTTGGATCGTCCCCTAAAGTAAACGCTGCAAACCTTTCCCCCAAACTCATCATACTGCGTCTGCATCCGCACGCGAAACAACACACGCGCCCTCACAGCGGAATAAGAAACAGTACTATCTCAGCTGAAATATCCCAAACATCTTCGCTCCTAACATGCATTGCTTTTAATTTTCAACTTCCAGGTTTCAAGTCTTCATTCACATCGTTCCTGTTTCCTGCGTCTGTCCCTCTTCATTTCGCGGTCGCGATTTATTCCCGTTTTTGGATATGGTAGGCTATCGATCGCTTGCCGCCCTGCCTATTTTGTGGCTTGCATTGGAGAAATGACTCAGGATAGAACATGGCTGTACTAACGTAGATGCCATTTCCCCCCCCTCTTTTTTTGTTTCCTCTGTAAAAAATCCTGTGATCAAATGGAGACTGTGCCGGTGCTGCTATGAGTTTTAGATTTTCATATCATACTTTGAATGTACTGATCTCTGCTATAAGATCGAAATTATTGATGTGTAACTTAGGACTCCATGAAAGGATTTAACATGTTCTAGATGTGTTTTTGTGCCATTGCAGTAAATTCTTTGTTGTTTATCATTCTAAAAGATACACCAGAAGTAAAATTTGGGGTAAGTTTTGTTATAATAATTTATGTATTTCATTTTAAATATCACAATTAATGACATCAATGACGCATCACATACCTTGCATTTTCTGTAAATGTCTGTGTCCCTTAAATTGTTTGAATATGAATCAGAACAGGAATTCAAACAACATTATAATAACTATGCACGATACTGCACTTTGTTTTTAAATACTGCAGTATTTAAAGGGGAACGTAATAATTCGAACTCTTTGCAGCCTCTTGAATTTCTTGTTTTGAAATAACAGCAGTGAGGAATATAAAATATTTTGAACTGAGCTCTTAAAAAAATATTGCTAACTTTTTAAAATTGAAAGTACATTACAGATGCGGTTTAATATGTAAATAAAATTACCACAGTTATTATACTACGTTCTAAAAACTTGATAAAAGTATTATGTACCAAATGTGCATGAAAATCTAAGGACTGCATATAATTTCAGTTATGTTTCTTAAACAACTTTTAGCTTTTAAATCCCAGTGCTTCTAAGTATTAGAAATAGAGTAACATTTAAATTTTTTGACAGATGAGTTTTTTAAGAGGGTATTTAAATTTATTATTATACATCTAACTGCCATTTTGAGAGAATTATATATTTGAAAACAGGTGTTTTGTTTACCGGAAAAGAACAGAATATTTTGTTTTTTTAAATAAACACATGGAATACTTTTATATTTAGTATTTTAAGTACTCAAACTGTCATGCACTGTATTGTTTTGAATATTTGTAATTATTATTAATTATGATTTAGTACTTCTATATTAGGTATATACTAACTATTTTAGATAATTTTCATCTGTTTCAAACGCACTAGTGTATACATATGTTAAATTATATCATATATTTATCAGGACAAAAGATTTGGCAGTTATCTGTTTTAGGTATATAAAAATATTAACTTTTCTTGTGTATGGTCATGGTGAAGAAATTTCACATTTTATCTGAATGGAATGAATGTTGGTATTGCTTAAATATATTACACTTTTCTTACGTAAAAGAATGATCCATCATTTTTCAGGTGGCTAAGTCACGTAATATCTGAAACAGAGAAACAGTGATCAAAGATAGGCAATACGGGTACATTCAAAAACATATATTCTGAACCTCTAAGCTGTTTCCTATCTTTCCTTCGACGAAACAGTTTTCCTACGGAAATAATTTTAATTTTCTGAAAAACGTGAATAGGTCTCTGAATTAAAGAAAAACTAATTGAAAGAATTTATTCATGTTTACAGAAGACGCAGTATAGAAGTGTTATATAGCGACAAAGATCCCTGAAATAATTTCATTTACTTTCTAAAGAGTCATACAATTCTAATGTGAACGCAAATATTTTATGGAAAAAGCTACATTTAGCTGTTTGCTAAAGGCTTTGTAATCTTTTATAAGATATTAATTACGTATGAAAGCTGCAGAAGCCAAATGAAATAGCTTTGTGACTATAATTTATACGCTTGAGTTTTTGTTATCATAGATATTGAGGGCACTAGGCTTAGCTGCAAACAGTTATATTGTTTCGATGATTATTTATATAAAGGTAAATTTCATAAATGTACATTCCAAATGAAATTTTCGATTGAAAGTTATTTTAATGTCTTATTAGTCCAAACGGGCAATTTGCCCAGAAGGACTATTAATTTCTTTTCGGCATTCTGCATTGATTCACTTTTAAAACTGTTGCCACCAAATATTAGAGTCCTGTATTATATTTAAAGAAATTAAGCAATGAAGGATATGTATGTATGTTTTTCACACTGTGATAACACAACGGTACCTAGGGTCACCAAATTTGGAATAACGTAATCCTCCGCCGGATATGGGCATCTGGAAGCCCTAATTTGGAATTTGTTTTATAATCAATTTCATATTTCGTAACACTTTAATGAATTTTTGATTAACAAAATCAACAATTTCATAGCGAGCAATGGCAATACTGTACGGGAAAAAAAGAACATTTTTTATCTCCAGCGCGCGATCTTATCGAGCGCGCGAGACTCTGTATCGGAAATTCTAAAGATATCCTCATTTTAAAATTGTTTTGCGATATTGCTGTTGAATTGAATTTTATGGTTTAACTGCAAAGAACATCATATTTATAGATAAAGGTAACATACAAAACGTTAAAAAAACGCCCTTTTGGCGTAATGAGAAACCTGAAAGCTTGCAGATTTTTAAACAATTTTTTTCTTTTGAATAAGTTTTATTTTATTAACTGTTAAGATTTTCTGCCAAGTTTATTATTTCAGACATTTTTTTATTTTAAATTATTTAAAATGTTCTCGTTTTTATATGAATAAAACCCACTGCGCATTTCCCCAACTGATTTACTTTTTATAATAACCGTTTAATAGTTTGGCTTCAAAGATGGATGTATTTTGCTTACTTTCTTTAGCTTCCCATTACAATAGTTCTTTTAATATTGCATAACAATAGTTCTTTTAATATTGCAAGTTCTGAAATATACTTTGGATGACTAGATTTCAGAGATTTTTGAACTATTCAGTTTACTTACTTTAACAGGTATCCGCAAAATGAAAATTTTGTGCCATAATATAGAATATGATAATGGAGTAGCAGTAATGATCGTTTGCTACAATTCTTTATTTTTGACGTAGCCTTCTTGAAGTAAACAGCATGCACCACTGAACTGTCGCAAGACGCGCGGTTTTCCTTAACTCACGTGTGCTATATATTACAGCAATGTAATTAATATAAGAAAGAGATGCAACGAGCTACATGTTAGCAGGACAGAGATTTGGTTTTGGTTTAGTTGATTACCGCAAAGCTCACGAGAGCCTAAGGAGAGAGATGCCTTCGTGAAGGACTTTCTAAGGGAAACTGGCTTGTATACACATTACACGTAGAGAAAATCACGAAAACGCCCATACAGGCAGCCCGCTTGCCGGGATTCGAACCCCGGACCGAACTACCAGTGTTCAGCGACTTTACCGCTCCTCTGCTGGTGCGCCTAGTAGTACAGAGGCTGAGTAAGAAGTGGGCGTAGATTGCGATATTGATGCTGGATTAAGAATATAAAATTATGGTTTATCTTTATTTGTATTGGTTGATTTTAAGTTTTGGTTTGCAAATTTTTCATTATTGTTGGCTTAGGAAATGTTAGTCTTCTATTTGTATATCGAAACCATCTTGTAATTCTGGCAGAACCCCCAATATTCTGATTCAGTATATTTAGTTTCCTTTTTGCCATTATGTAAGCACATACGTCATTAATAAGAATCATGTAATAGAAATTAATTTTGAAATGGCGCACTTAAGAAATATTTATTGCGTATTGCTGTTTTTAAGACAGAAATTATTATATACGAATTATATGACGGAGATGAATTGTGAAAAGATGCACTTATTGTATTTTACGTTTTTTATATAGAAAGGAGAAGTTACCAAATTAAAAGTGAGACTTAGGGGGATATTTCAAATTCAAGCTAGAATTTTACCTTACATGATTCTTATCATGCATCTATATGTTTGAATTCCTTTCATAATATCTTAAGAAAACCATTTATTTATCAATTCGAATTGAGTAGATGATAATTCAAATAGAATAGCAAAAAACATGGCTTGGGCTAAACTAAATTGCAATTTTTTTTATAAATAAAAATGTGCAAAATGATAAAAACCGCATGTTTAAAAATTTGTGTTCAGCATGATAATGTATCCATGATTTACCACGATATGAAAAGAAACGGTACTTAGAGCCGTCAAAAAATAATAATGACCAATAAATGGTTCAAATACGCTATTAAGTGAGAACGAGATTAATTCGATTACATGTGCCAGATTGCTTCGAAATGGGTAGAGTTTCTAGACAACCAAGGTCGAATCTAATGTCATTTTAAAATTGGTTTCTAGACAAATAGCTTTGATTTAAGACAAAGTTTCTCAAGTAAGCCTTATCGCTCATCGGTGGGCTCTGAGAATATCTAGAATGGCGTTAGTTTTCTAAAGGCCATTAATATGGCACTGAAAAGCAAGTTTCAACGCTTTGAAGTGAACATTTTGATATTCACTTGGTTATATAAAAATTACAGTTACGTATCGTTATAAAAACCGTACCAAATTATGCCAATCCATCCTTCATAGGAGTTGGTTAAAGTTGGATGTAGTGTGGTTTTTTTTTTTATCAGCACTTAGGAATTATGAGTCTAATATTCTAAAACCAAATACCTGGAATGATATCCAGTACGTACCAGTCGCTTATTATACCATTCTTTGCCATTCGTTTACTATTCGTTTGTGTATTGAATAATGAAGTTTAGCTAATAATTTAATGGAGTGCAAGTGAAAAATTACAGGCTTTCAGTTAGTGGCTATAGATTATGTTAAAAAACCATCTAATACATCAGTGCTGCAAACTTAAGGAACATTGAGCAAAATGAACCTTGAAAAGAGGCCAGTAGGCCAAAAAATGTTAAGTTATATAAAGCCTAAGTTCTGTTTAAGATTCAAACAGGCGGGTTTCTTTCCTTTGTACATGAAATGCAATTCTTCCACTTGCATATATTGAAACTATTTTGTCACTGTGACAGAACTCCGAATCTTCAGATTACTTTTGAACACAGCCCGTCTTATATTCGAAAAAGCCAGATATTTTTTTTTTCTTTTTTTGTAAGTCTAACTGAAAGGTTATGAGTTCCTGTTTATTTTCCTCTTTTAATTCGTACTAGCAGCTTCGCTGCCAGCCTTCGTCTGGCTTTTAAATGTACCGGAAAAATGGCTGAAGGAAACACCAAACGTTAAATTTAAAAACTGCGTAGAATTTTAGTCTGCAGAACAACTTCATGAAAAAAAAAGTTATTACGTATAACAAAATTACAATGAAATAAACAATATCCCTTAATACAAATATTAATTATCCTAATAAATAAATTAACCAACTTCCCTTTGCTAAATCTTAAGAGCACAAATGGTATAAAGGAGGTTAAGAATTTTGTTTACTGAAAAAATCACTCAAAACTTTTCAGTAT